TAAGAGAGGACCCCCCGGGATCGTGCTCCACGCTCTGTCCCATTAAACTGCCTGTTCCGCTGTTCTGCGGGCCCTTAAAGGACCCTTGGAGTGTTGCCTTTTCCCCTTGTTTCGAGTCCTATTTTTCCAATAACTGTCTAATTTCTCGCGCGCTGATTGGCTCATTTTTATATTCAGTAAGAGTACAGACGGTATTTAAATTTTTTGAAACTCTTATTCTTCGGCCATTTCAGCTTGAGTAAATATAGAAAACAAAACTGCGGTCACCAACATGACAAAGCAACGCGTGTTGTAAAAAGCTTGATTTAAGAACTTGATGTTTCGTATGCTTCTGCATACATCATCAGAAGTATATAAACGGTAGCTGCATTACAATAAATTTAAACGAGAAGACTAGTACCTAATAAGAAAAACCGGTACCTATTAAGGAAAGAAATGACAATGGATATAAATGAAAATAAACAGACTTAAAATCTGCTGAAAAAAGGAACATATAAATGGCTAGTAGAGAAGAAGTCTCTCACTGCCAACATTTTCATTAAGTGCTGCTTGCAAATCACGAATCAACAATGTTTCTTTAATTCTACAATGCACATCAGATCGTCCGGTGGCTTAAATGTCAAATTAAGTCATCCCATTTTATCCTGAGGCCTGTCAGGGTCATATGGTCTGCCACGGCAGAAGCGTGGTTAGTACTCGTCAGCGCTTTAAAATGCTCCGTTTTCCTGTCATGCAACCGATGAATAGAAATTCAACGTAAAATTGTCACACAACAGCTCAAATCATGTATCCACAGGTTCTATGGTTGTTTTATTCTTAAATTACTTTACAAAAAACTAGTCCAATATTAAGTCTTTTTTTCCTCTATAAGGACAGACGCATAAAATACTGACGTCAATTTGTTTAAGTGCGAGTGATAATTGATTGTGCTTGCACTTTTAGGGGATATGTCCTGATTTTTCACCAAATTCTCAGAGCTAACATCAGAAGAGAGGTATAGCAGACAGTAGGGAGAACTTATATTTTTACTCGGGACTGAGGTGTTTTCTTGCTAATTTCACGATTTTCCGTTCTCTGTTGGCTGAAGTGCTCCATTGCAGGGGTAATTTTTGTCGTCACGCACCATCACTACTCGAAAGAGCTTTGCAAAAGCTTGAAATTTGTGGCAGATGGCAGATATATTTTTTTATTTGCTTGATGGAATCTACACGAGATTGTGATATGGAAAGCGAAATAAAAATTGGTTATGGTTGTCTTTTTACCGCGTTTTAGCTATCTGAAAAGGGAAAATTTCACTTCTTGTTGGGTCCGAAACCGCGGAGGGTTGGGACCTGGGACAAGTCACGCTGTAACGTCAAAACAAGAATGTAGGTCTACATATCTTCCGTAAATGTTTAATTGTTTCTAAAAATAAATGTACACTTTAAGACTTCGAAAGCTGTTGGCTTTTCTCAACACAGTCCTTCTTTGTTGATTTTCAGTTGCAAAGTATTCTAAAACGTTTGGAAACACCATACAGTGAGGATATGGAAGATGAAGAAGCCAGTTTCTCTCAAATAAACATCAACTGCCGAGCCCTCACCATCCTTGGCAGATCAAAGGGAAAGAACTCTTTTTGACGTCTACGATAAACACGAAACTTTTCTTGACAAACCACCGGAGGACGTGCTCAATATGCGGCTTTCATGATCCTCGTAAATTGTCTGTTTTGTCCTTAGCAAGCTTGGAAACTGCTGTGTGTTCAGTGTGCTGCTCTCACTCAATCCAGAAACCAGCGGTGTTGCATTTAGCTGAACATGATGGCGTTGCGATTACGCAGATAGGACGTAGAGGTCCGCTGTCATCTAAAAACCGATAAAAAATCTAGTTCACAACAAACAAATGAGCGAAGCTGGGCAAGACGGACAAATACTGGTTAATTTTACTTTTGAAAGGCTTTCTGTTGCTTGAGCTAATGACGGTGCTAATAGAAGCCATATAATTGGCAGTTTGTACCCAATGTGAAAAGTTTGGAATATAATAACTTCATGAGCTGTAGTTTTATATCATAATATTGTATAACATTCCGTTAGAAAATGAAAATGAAATTATTCAATTAAATATTCACCATTGCGGTGGAACCTCGCCACTGACCCAACTATTACGGTGTCTTTCTTCAGATATTTAAAACACTATTAATTTTAATAAGTTTATATATTTCGAAATTGCATGGAAGGTAGGCTCGATTTCCAGCCGTTTTGGGAGTCCGGCTGTTGAGACAAGGAACGCGGGCTCAT